CTTCTGAATAACCAAAATGCCCAGGGTGATGATATTTAGTCAGTAGCATACTAGGATCAAGGGCTACCAAGTTTGTATAACTGTATGACCTTGAATCATATTCAAGGTCACAAGGAGCAAAATGTTCAAAATATTTCAACAACTTGTTCTGAATAACCAAAAGGCTCAGGATGTTGATATTTAGTCAGTAGCATATGCTGGGATCAAGGACTACTTTGTTTGTTCAAGTGAATGACTTTGACTTATATTCAAGGTCACAGGGGTCAAATTTGTTTAAAATCTTTAAACAACCCTCTTCTGAATAACCATGGGTCCGAGGATGTTTATACTTTGCAAGTTGCATCCTGAGATGAAAGGCTATACGATGTGTTTAACATAATGACTTTGTTCGAGGGTCTTTTGAATGAATTTTAATCATAAATACTGATATTTTGCCTGTAGCTTTATTTTAGATCACTTTTAAGGTTACACGTGCAAGTTTTATACCAGGTGAGCGATGCAGGCCCATTGGGCCTCTTGTTTATTCTCCGAAACTGGATTTTTAGCTCTGCTTATAGAACGGTCCAAGTGTGTTCGTTTATCGTGGAAAAATTTCTACGCCACACGTACCGTTTCAACCGGGATACGCGAATGTAGCCATAGCTACCGGAAATAGAAGAAGACTGATATAGGCAAAGCCTGTTGTCTTTTTCTTTTGTCAATACTAGTACTGTTCTAATTTCTTCTTTAATGTTAACTTATATGCTTGTTAGCTCACCTGCCCGAAGGGCAAGTGAGCTTATGTCGTGGTGCGGCGTCCGTCGTCCGTCCGTCAACTTTTCCTTTAAACAACTTCTTCTGAAGAACGAACAGGCCTAGAGTCATGATATTTATCTGAAAGCTTTGTTGGTAGGAGCCCTACAAAGTTTGAGAACGAAAATGACCTTGACCTTCTTTAAAGGTCACAGGGGTCAAATATGTCAAAAATTTCTAAAGACTTCTTCTGAAGAACTAAAAGGTATAGAATCTTCATATTTGGCTGATGGCTTCCTGGGACGGAGCTTAACAAAGTTTGAGAATGAAAATGACTTTGACTTGCTTTCAAGGTCACAGGGGTCAAATGTGTCAAACACTTCCAACGACTTCTTCAAAGAACTGAAAGGTATAGAATCTTGATATTTGGCTGGTGGCTTCCTTGGACGGAGCTTAACAAAGTTTGAGAATGAAAATGACTTTGACTTGCTTTCAAGGTCACAGGGGTCAAATGTGTCAAACACTTCAACCGACTTCTTCTGAAGAACTGAAAGGTATAGAATCTTTATGTTTGGCTGGTGGCTTCCTGGGATAGAGCCCAACAAAGTTGCGAATGAAAATTAGTTTGACCTACTTTCAAGGTCACAGGGGTCAAATATGTCAAAAACTTCAAACAAATTCTTCTGAAGAACTAAAGGGTATAGAATCTTCTTATTTGGCTGATTGGTTCCTGGGATAGAGCTCAACAAAGTTTGAGAATGAAAATGACTTTGACCTTCTTTCAAGGTCACAGGAGTCAAATGTGTAAAAAGCTTCAAATGACTTCTTCTGAAGAACTGAAAGATATATAATCTTAATATTTGGCTGGTGGCTTCCTGGGATATAGCCCAACAAAGTTTGAGGAAGAAAATGACCTTGACCTTCTTTCAAGGTCACAGGGGTCAAATGTGTCAGACACTTCAAACGACTTCTTCTGAACAACTGAAAGGTATAGAATCTTTATATTTGACTTGTAGCTTCCTAGGAAAGAGCCCAACAAAGTTTGAGAATGAAAATGACCTTTACCTACTTTTAAGGTCACATGAGGCAGATATGTCAAACACTTCAAATGACTTCTTCTGAAGAACTGGAAGTTATAGAACCTTAATATTCGGCTGGCTATTTCCTAAGAAAGAGCCCAACAAAGTTTGCGAATGAAAGTGACCTTGACCTACTTTCAAGGTCACAGAGGTCAACAACATTTTAATGGATTTGTTCTTAATAACTAAAAGGAAAATATGTCAAGCAACTTCTGAAGAATCAAAAAGCATAGAATCTTGTAATAATATTTTGCTGGCGGTTTCAACAGATGGAGCCAACAAACTTTGCGAGGGAAATATTTTTAGTGCAATATAATATTTAATGAGAATATTTTGCTATGACTGCTTAAATATTCAGGTGAGCGATACAGGCCCTCTTGGGCCTCTTGTATTATATATGTATTGTCAATAAAATACTTTTGAAAAAAAAAAGATATCGAAATGTCAACAAAAAACCGCAATTCAACCTAAAAATTGGAAAACTGCAAGGAGAATTACCGTGATATCCAAAAGGACGTACGAATTACAGTACAGAAACCATGTAGAACCAGAATAAGACCAGATGTTCCGGAAGGGTTAGCCTTAGCTTCCTCTAGTCCTGACACTTAAGATCAATGTGGCATGTTCGTTTATACGGAACAACCGGTCTGTCTGTTTTAAAATCTTTTCGGGTATAAATCCTGGCAGACCTACAAATTATATGTGTATGCAGGCCTTCAAAGGCTTTGACAATCAAGGCTGGTCTGAGAGCAGCATTAGATTAGGCCAGACCCAAAAAATATGTGTTTCCTGGTACATGTTGGGGAAAATAGGGTAGGTAGGTAACAAATTTTATTTGAAAGTTGCCTTAAACAGTTTAGGATATGCACAAAAAATAGAGTAGGTAGGGTACCGGAACACGATTTTTTTTTTTTTGTCTTACACTGGGTCCGTTTTTACTTCATCAGAAAACGAACAACTCTGGTCCAATCGGTCCTACCGTTTGAATAGCAATAAACGAAAGCAGCCCTACATTTTGACAGATAGATGTCTGGTGCGGGGCCCCACACCAGACATCTATATATATATTTGTCAAAAATTGCCTGGTCTGGTGTTAGGGCCAGAGGTAACTCGGGCTACGGCCAAGGGTAAGCTTCTTCTGCTTCATCGGATGACATCTGTCCCTAATTATTTTGCCAGTAGCATACAGGGCTACCAAGTTTGTTCAGACACATTAACGAGGGTGAACTCCTATTGTTTTGTAGAAACCATTTTACTCTATCTGGTAAAATCATAGCTAGCTTTGATCTTATATATTTACATGCATATATTTATAAGGAAACTGGACAATATAATAATTAAAATTATAATCAAGTAGGTCGATCACACATCACATGTACTGTGCTCATGTCAGTATAGAAGTGAATATGTTGTCTGTAAACTCATTTGTAAGTAATTACCATGGTNAGTCTTCGATATGGCTGAAACGCAGATCAAATTTCATTACTCGAGACTTTAACTATCAGAAATGAGAACAAAACAATATAAACATGTTTAATACCCGATAAACCTGTTTGACCCGATTCAAAAAGATTAGTTAGGTTAATATACAACTTAAATCAATTTCTTTATACATAATTTTTGTTATACTTTCGGAAATA